GGGCTTGTGGAAGGTGAAATTGGAAATCCAACTGTAGAGGTAACTTTTACTAGTATTTCGCTATGAATCTACTTAACAATATTTATTTTACTTTATGCAATCCCAAATAATTACAAGCATGTTTCTTTATTAAAGAAACATTATAGCCATCAGAAAAACTACAGCTTATTTGTTCTATTATGTTTGTTCTGTTTGAATATAACAATTTCCCCTCAGAGAAAATGCAGTGTTTACATTACAGCCTAGGGACACCTCCCCAGCTACTCCTCAGATGGCTACTCGAGGTTCTTCCTGAGGAAGTGCTGCTCAGTGCGCAGCATTGCCATTCAATGTTTTGCTATATTTAGAGGGGCAAGTGGGGACTATGGGGTGTAGATGCTGGTTTTAACACTATAGGATTAGGAATACATGTTTGTGTTTCTGACCTTATAATGTTCCTCTAAAGTGAGAATTGTGGGGAGTTTTAAACACACCTTGCATTTATGTAGTTATGTATCATCATATGTCTCTGAGTCTGTGTTTCATGTAATCTCTGTACTTATCTTGGTCTGGGGATCCATGTGTCTCTGGGGTTTTATTGTGCTCCATGGTGGGGAGGAAGTATGGTCCCAGCTTTAGATCTCGGCCCAACGTATCTCTTGGGAGTGTAAGCCCTGGCAGGAATTCCGGAAAGGTCCAGAAGGATGGTGTGGCGAAACCAACCTCGCCACTGGGCATTGGACAAGCCTGTTTGCCCGCCTGCTGACTATGGTCCCTGGGAGATTTGGCCCTTTAAATACAGTATTTGGGCATATTGTATTTTATTATGCTGCTGCTGGCCCTTTAAGAATCATCTGGGGACATACTGTGACTTTTGGGAACAAGGCCCCTTTAAGACTATGGCCCTTGGAAGATATTGCCTGTTGAAGACTATTTTAGCAGATTGAATTTTAAAAGACTTGCTGCCCCTTTAAATTGTATTGGAGCAGTTCTGCAGCTTTAAATTGGCACTTCGGATGCAGCCGAAGTGCCGAAGTATTCGAAGTGGCCGCCAATTGACAAACGAACACCGCTGACCCTTACCTTCTCCTACACTCAGTTTTCAGCTGCAGAGACTAAGTCCCGTTCAGCAGTTTGAACTCACTGCTATACTAAGCTAAATGGACGAACAGCCCCGTTCGTGCATTCGAATGGGACTTAGTCATTTTTTATGAAGATTGGACGTATATTTTCAAAGTTATAGCACATGTATAAAAACTTTATTTTTCCTGCTTGTGATAATTAAGCTAACCTATTGTGTACCATAATTATATCACAGACAGAGGGGAGGATTTTGTGTATAATTGCTGGGAGTGTTTTCTGTAATGTCCGTGTGTTATTGTTGTTCTGTAAAACCCTGTGGGCAGTACTACGTTTGTGGATTGGGAATAAAAGAGGCTGTATGTGCCAGTACAATCAGTTCTACTTCACCCTCAATTTGGAGTGCCGTCTCTTATTGGGGGAATCTGCTACAAGGGATTGCTATGCTCTGCATACTCCTTTGCTATATTCACTGCTAAGCTCTTGTAAGAGCTTGTTCCGATTTTTGCTCTCTCAAGGAGTCCACGGTGATTATGGCGTCTGCTGGAGTGATTGAAGCCCTCAGGAAGTGCTAGGAGCATCTTTCAACGGAGGTACCCAGTCGGGGTGCCCGTCGATCCGTTACAGATGGGCTAGGGGCAGGATCAGGCCAAGGACCAGCTTCAAGCTCGAGCTTAGCCCCTAGTTAGAGTAAATCTAGACTTATATTCAGTGTCTAAGGGGTGCCATTGTCGTTTTGGGTTATGGGTTGGTTTGAATTTGAAAGTTGAATTTTAACTGTGGGAAAGTTTTGGAGATTAGAATTTTGGAGCATTTCATCTATATAGCATGTAAGCTCATTGAGCAGGGCCCTCAAACCCTCTGTTCCTGTGTGTCCAACTTGTCTGGTTACAACTACATGTCTGTTCGTTCACCCATTGTAAATCGCTGCGGAATTTGACGACGCTCTATAAATATCATCATAATAATAATAAAATAAAATCATAATAAAATGCTCGTATTCACTCCATTACCTCCAAAAATATAGGAAGCTATATAGATAACAATAAAAGTGTATTTTCTCTTTAGGTTATATTCCTGTTTCATGACTTCTTATAGATTTAGTCTTCCAAATAAATAAATAAATAAATAAATAAAAAGTGAAAATTAGTCCTGATTTAATTCTACTAAAAACCATACATGTCTTGTGTGCTCTCTCCTAGAATATCCACTTAGCAGGGGCAGTGTTCGAGTGGCTAACAACATTTGGACTGTTTAGTTTCCTGTTAACACTCATTCCAGATTTCCAGGTTTGTATGTAAATGTAAATCTTAAGAACACAATGTACATATAACTTTGTTATGCCTTGTTCTGTGATTCATTCTCTAGTTTTTTGCTATCCACTTGCTATTTCCTTCTAAGTGTGACTCGAGAATTCTGCATGCTGGAGTGTTTTATTAATTCTTTGCTTTCTACTCTTAAAATGGGTATAGTGACCTGAGATTTATTTTCTTTTAACAGCAAATTACTATAAAAAGGCCAGAAGATTGGAGGGACAACTGGTTCGTCATGAGGGAGACGATACAGACTATGGAGGAATTCCCGTAAATTAACAGCTATGGTATAATGTATGTCGTCTTTCTTTTTTCCCTGCTTAGGTTTCATATACTGTGTTGTGCTGTATTCTCAATAAATGCTGAATAATAAAAAAACAAGAAATTGAAAAGGGGTATCGCAAAATGCCATGGGTGAGCTGCAGGGTGATAAATTGGAGGAAAAGGGGTTGAAGAGTTACCTTGTAATTTATAAAAAGTATATTCTGTAAGTGTCAATGAAAGGGTTAAAAATGAAGTAAGTAAATGGACAGACTATTTTAGAAATAGCAATTATTAAATGTCAGCTTAAAAGTAAAACCTGTTGCAGACCATCAAAGAGATAACCTTTTAACCTCGCTACCAGGAATACATGTTGTTGGCTGATGTAATCTTATCATGTTACTTTTGCTGTAACTTCTGTCTATAAATATGTTTGCCTGACTCTTTGTACACTGGTAGTAGCCCAATTTAAAACACGTTGTCTTTGTATCACTGAAAGGCTCTCTCCGAATGTTCGGTCCAAAAGTGAGGTGCATGGAACGTTTTGCCCAGCAGTGTAATATGACCCCAACAGTGACTTCTGGAGGTGTGCTTTTGTTTTTTTTGTTTTTTTATCAAGTTTTCATATTTTTGTTTTGCCTTGTATAAAATGAGAGTCTTACCTATGTATTTAGTATTTTGTCTTCCAGGAGCATAAGTACTTAGTGATCCATCTTAGCGGAGGGGTATTTGCATTCACATTTGGTGCCATGTATATATTTTGCATCAAATTAATCGAAAACCAAAAGCAATCAATGTATCAGTAATACCGTGTTCTTGCTGAGAATGGAGTCCTCTATCTATATTCTGATATAGGTGCTGCTTTGTATCCTTTTTAACATTCTAATTTGTAATTAATTGTATTCTGTATGGATTTGTGCAGTTAACATGGGTGACATTGGGTGGCTAAATAAAGTTAATGTGTTTAGCCAGGAAAGTTACATTCAGATATACTCTGGTTTTCAAGTACAACCTGGAGATGTTATTTCTGCCCAACAATAATGGTTTGTTTTGTTTACTAAACAGCAAACAGTGGTCACTTGATAATCGACTTGTACAATTTAGCCTACAACAGTTAAGTTGAAATTACACTTAGATGATAAATATATAGATAAATAGATAGATATTTTAATTCCATAGTTGACTTCCTTAAGATCCATGTTTGTAGTAAATTAAAGCATCATATATGAACTAGTGAAAAGTGAACGTGGAAACCTGACTGTACAGGTAAATTTAATTAGTATTTCGCTATTATTCTGCTTAATAGTTTTTATTTTACTTTATGCAATCCCAAATAATCACAAGCAAGTTTATTTATTAAAGTGGGAATTGTGGGGAGTTTAAACATTCTTTGGTTTTCAAGTTTGTATGTAAATGTAAATCGTTAGGAACACAATGTACATATAACTCTGTTATGGTGTTTTGTGATACATTCTCTAGTTATCTGCTATCCACTTGCTAGTTCTGTTAGTTATGACTCAAGATTTTATTTCAGTATCCCTTCCTCATCTGCATGCTGGAGTATTTTATTAATTTTTTACTTTCTACTCTCGTAACTCCTGACAATTGCAAAGGGAGAATTTGGAGGGGGCATCATCGGGTACGCAACCCACGTTACTTGTGACACCCATAATGGGCGGTTCACAGGTAGGCTGCGTGGTCGGCATTTAGCACCATATGGGGAGAGGTGGGGATATGCTCCCTGCGTGGCCATAGTGTCTGTTGCACAGCACGAGCACATCAAATGAGGCACTTACGATTTGGTGCCCGAGGACAGTTCCTTGGTGTCCCCAGATATGAGATGCCAGGGATCTGAAGAAAAACAGGACCCCAAAATCATGACTCTCGGGGCGTGGCCTGACAGCCAATGGAGTAGGACGCACGCTGCTCGAGCTCCTAGGCCCCAACCGGTAAAAAGCCCAATATCACGGCAATTACAGCCACACAAATGGGAAAACCTAAACGTCCAGCTAAACGTCCAGGGCCGGTGACCGCCATCATTACATGCCAACAGCCTGGTCCCATGGACGGATACTTGTCCACGCCGCATGGCCTCCGTGATGCCGGGGACGCAGACACTCACACGCCCTCCTCACCAAGCTCAGTGAGCGGGACAGCCACCCCTGGAAGACTAACACAGGGCAACGCACTCACACAGATCACGGGCGATTTCCGCGAGCATGCCGACCCGAGCAGATAAAAAAGAGATGGTGTCAGAACTCCGGTCAATCTGACTGCCCAACACCAACAGGCCTCCGACCTTGCAGCGACCAGACAAGGCAACATCCTTTTAGAACTACGCCGCCAGGTTGAAGATCTTGACAACAGATGCTGCCGGAACAATATCCGGGTCCGTGGTGTGCCGGAGGCGAGGACCCGAGGGAACTCCTGACAGGCCTATTCACTCAACTACTAGGGGACACCGGCCCACCCGACTATGGAATGGTCGCACACCGAGCCCTCCGGGCCCCTAGAGGACACGGCCAACCCCTGGATATCATCTGCCGTCTAATGTCATTCCCACTGAAGGAATCCCTTATGCAGGCCTCAAGAGCAAAGCAAACCATTGCTTACCTGGACTCTCGGGTCTCCCTGTACCAGGACCTCTCAACAATCACCTTGGACGACTGCCGAGCTCTACGCCCACTGACCCAAATGCTACAAGAAAAGAGGATAAGATACAAATGGGTGTTCCCATTTAGATTACAGGCCAAGGTGGACAACACATGGCACGTCATGGCCCAACGATGTCCCACGTTTTCTCAGGACAACCAGACAACCCCTGGTGTCAATTTGAAACTGGATCTTCGAAGGCCCACAGGCGCTAGAATCAGGCCCCACGAAGGTGGCTCACAACCTGTAAGTAACCCCGAGACTGCAACGACGCAGAGGAGGGCCCACAGGTCCCGAGGAATAAACAGCCTCCCTCCGTGTCCACACTGGCACAAGGCGAACCACCCACACCCCCAGGACCCAGGCAACACCACGGTATGTGCTTCGGGACTCTCCCCTCCCCCCCCCGGCTCCGGACTAGGTACACACGGGCGCCTCCTTCCCCCTTCTCGATCCGGGGGTGAGAGGCCGGGTCCCGAGGAGATGGGACGGCTGCTGAGTCACACTAAACACTACCTGTCAACAACCACATGTGGGCTCTGGGGTTTGGGAGGGGGAAGGGATGGGACTGGGGACAATGCTGCATAGCCATACCGCCACTCCATTGCTTCACACAGACCGGAGCCAGATTACCACATATGGACACTACGTAATGAGGCCCAAAACCCCGGCCATTGATCTACGGGTCGGCTACAAAGCCTGCCGGGAAACTTGAGGACATGGGGGTTGGAGGGAAAAGGAAATGAAAAATGTATACTAACAGGTTTTTGAATAATGCTTAATAGGTCTCAATACAACCTACTTCCCCCCCATCTGGTTTGTAATACACCAGATAACACAAGGGATTCCACAAAGGAGCGGGCAACGAACCGTAGGCAGCCGACATGGAAACATTAATGCTGGGATTGGTGTGAGCCATGGATGGGTATGGGCGGATAACAAACAAGGGACCCAACCTATCAGTTAAGCTTATAACCTAAAGCACACCGTTACACATACCCCGGGGGCTGCAGGCCCAAATGAACACAAGCTGACGTCACCGCCCCCCCCCCCCGCACCCCACGTTGAAACCTAACACAACTATTAGCATAGTTACGGGTTTGTGAGCCAAGGGAGGTCTGAGACTCAGATACACCACTATTGCGACTGATCCACTTCATTGGTGCCGCGCACGACCCCACCTGCGATAGACCCTATCTGTAAATAATACCAGGATTCTCTGGGACGGGCAACCTCCACCCCACAGCTCACTACAGCCCGCAGAGACCTCATTAAAATACTATCCCAAGGGCATCTGCTCAGAATGAGGAAATCGGCTAGGTTCTTTTATGAACATTCCAACAAAAGCGGGAAACTATTAGCGAAGATGCTCAAGGAGAAAATTAGGAGACAGCATGTCCACAAAATCCAAACGAGAAGCCGAGGCACCACCAGGATCCCGGGAGGTATTTTGGAGGCATTCCGGGAATACTATACGGATCTATACAACCAGACAAGATCCGCAGGAACCACGGCTGCACAACACTGCGAACGCCGGATTGTGGAATATCTCGAGAGACATGTTGCCCGCAAACTGTCTCCCGAAACCGCAGAGGAACTGGAACACCCCCTGACGATCGAAGAACTTGCCAATGCCATGAAACTCACCGAACCCCACCGCGCTCCGGGACCTGATGGCCTAGCAATCTCATATATACGTGTCTTCTGAGATATTTTATTACCAAAACTCCTGATAGGCCTGAATTCACTACGAGAAGGGGGACAGTTCCCGATGGACACCCTCATCGCAATGCTCAAGATCCTCCCCAAGGACCCATCCAACTGCTCCAGCTACCGCCCAATATCTCTGCTGAACACGGATCTGAAGCTCTTTGCTAAAGCAATGGCACTCAGGGTCTCCCAAGTCTTGCCGGACTTGATACACAAAGACCAGGTCGGCTTCGTCCCGGGGAGAGAATCGAGGGACAACACCATTCGGGCCCTCAACATCATCCACACGGTGGAACGTGAAACTATCCTCCTCTCCATCGACGCCGAAAAAGCCTTCGACCGGGTGGATTGGAAGTTCCTGGCAGAGACGCTCCGACACATGGAATTCGGCCAGAAAATTCACGCGTGGGTGGCGGTACTCTACACGACTCCAACTGCTCGTATTCGCATCAATGGAGCCTTAACTAAGCCATTACCCATTACCAACGGCACCTGCCAGGGCTGTCCCCTGCCCCTTCTCCTGTTTGCCCTCTATCATGAACCCTTTCTAGAGGCAGTCAGATGGGACGGAGGTATTACGGGGTTCCGCTTGGGCATCTGCAAGCACCGAGTGGCAGCCTACACGGATGATATGCTGTTCTTTCTGGAGCAACCAAGGATCTCGTTACCCAACTTGTTGGAAGTGTTCAGGAGCTATAGCACGGTCTCTAATCTGAAGTTAAATCTAGACAAATCTGAGGCGATGCCGCTCTCCCAAAGCAAAAACCTGATCCCGCACCTCAGAGCACATTTCCTGTTTAAGCTGTGCACCACCAAACTCCGATATCTGGGGGTCTGGCAACCGAAGAATCGCCACAACTATACCAACAAAATTACGCACCACTCCTAGTAACCCTGCAAGCAGACATGCGGTGGTGGACACCACAATACCTCACCTGGTTCGGCCGTATCAGCGCAGTCAAGATGAACTTATTCCCCCTGCTTACTCTACCTCTTCCAGACGGTCCCAATTACCATACCGCAATCGTTCTTCTGCACCCCCTCAACGGCAATCCGCCGATTCATATGGAACCATCGGCTAGCCCGAATCCGAAGGACAATACTGGAGAGACCCAAAGGGGAGGGAGGAGCTGGACTACCGTCCATATTAACATACTATCAATCATCTCACCTACACCGTCTGGTCGACTGGCACACTAACCCGGCGGGCAAGCAGTGGGCACAGTTGGAAATCCACCAAGCACAAAGAAGGATGCCGGCAATGCTTTGGTTGGGGGGAGCCTCATACCAGGAGCTTCGAACGGGTAACCCCATGATTGACGCAACTCTCGGGACTTGGTGCAGGATAAGGTATTCCAAACAACTCACTACTTCCCCAAACCCACTCACGCCTATCACGCACAACCCGAGGGTTGCAGGGGGACTTCATCCTACCGCATTAAAAAACATCCAGGAACCCGATTGGATATACATGCCCCAATGGTGCTTGCTCGGAAACGGGAATCAAACCAATTACAGACCTAATGCCGGACCGGAGACCGACAATGCTGGAGGAATTCCACTACTATCAAATAAAAACATACCACGCCTCCATGTTGGGCAAAAACCACCTCCACAGACCTATACTTTACTTCTAACACCTCTGTGCATCCAGACAACCGCTTAGCCACGGGATCTCCATCCTATACACAACACTCCTGGCGACAGGAACTGGGACTCACCGGAAAATGGGAGAGAAACACAGGGGAGATGCTCACTCACCAAGAATGGGAGAAAATATTCATGCTATCACACAAAGGATCCATAAGCTCGAAATATCAAGAATGCAACTACAAAATCCTAACACACTAGTACAGGACCCCAGATGTCCTCAACCATATACAGGAATCAATCCCAAGTGAATGTTTGAGATGTGGGCTGGAAACCAAAGTTATGTTACAAAGAGCATTTGCAGCTCTCTAGTTAAATGTTGCCACCACCTATATGGCGTTAAAAATACTGTTACTGTAATAATGTTGTAGAATTCAGCTGAAATGTAACATGTTTCCCTGTCAAACTTTAATAAAACAAAAATAAAGAATGTAAAAAAAAAAAATCGTGACTGTCCCACCGAAATCGAGACTGTTGGGATGCTTGTACTTTTTATACATTATTTGCTATGTCTGCAGTCCTTAAGGAAACATGCAAACATAAGCACCTTTCACTGTCTTCTTTGCATTTTGAATCTTGTAAATGCATGATTTGCAATTCACACTGAACCTATAAGCCCAAACCAGGGCCGGACTGGGGATTCCAAAGCAGCCCTGGAAAAAAATCTATGCCAGCCCCATAAGTCATTGCGCCATATATTGTCGCATGTAATATGTAAGGCTATGTCTTGTCACCCTAGATGATTGATATCTATATATATATATATATATATATATATATATATATATATATATTGCTTTTTCCAATATATAATATCGGTCCTTTCAGAGTAAAATTTTTAATTATACAGTAAGCATACTCACATGCAGACACAGACAATCTCACTGACACAAGCTGATTGATACACAGCCTCACAGACAAACAATCTCACTGAAATACATAAGGTCATTGACATAAAAAACACAAGCTCACTCAGTAGCATGCGTACACACACACACACACACTCAAGCCCACTCACTTGCAGGCGCGCACCCACACACAGCTTAATGTAGTGGCTCTGGTGTCTATAGCCTGTCCCTGCAGGCTTTTCAATGTAAACACTGACTTTTTTGAGAAAAGGCAGTGTTTACATTGCTTCCTAGTGTGAAACACTCAGACGGTCACTAGAGGTGCTTCCTGTGTCAGTGCGGGGTATTAAATGCTGTCTTCCACTCATGATTCTAACCAAATTGTAAGTGCTCCTAAGGTCAAGCTTAGTAAATACCTTAGCTCCCTGAAGTCTATCGAACAATTCGGAAATGAGTGGGATAGGGTATGCATTTTTTACAGTGATTTTATTAAGTGTCCTGTAGTCTATGCAAGGGTGTAACTCACCACCCTTTTTCTCAACAAAAAAGAATCCTGCACCAGTTGGTGAGGATGACTTTCTTATGTGCCCTTTGCTCAAGGATTCTTTGATGTATTCCTTCATTATTTTACTCTCCTGGGGAGATAAGGCATAAACTGCCCCCTTAGGTGGCATAGCGCCTGGAAACAGGTTAATGGCACAGTCATATGCTCTGTGGGGAGGCAATACATTTTGTGGGTTATAAGCGGTTGTGTGAGTGGTCTAACATCAATAGCCTCTACCGCTAGCGGCGTAGGTCTCTCCCTGACCGGTATCTCATTATCCCTAATAAACTGGACATCAATAAAATTTCCAGCAGCACCTGAGTCCATTAGGGCACTGCAGGAAAACTTCTTGTTATCAAGGGAAATAGATACCTCAAGGAGGAATCTACTTTTGTTTTTGTTAGAGGACAACTCCATCACACCTAAGATCTGTCCCCTTAAGGTTCTTAGGTGTGGATGTTTTCTGGACGCACTGGGCAATTAGTTATCATATGTCCCTTTCTACCGCAATATAGGCATAACCCCTCCCTTCTCCTATACTGTTTTTCGGCCTCTAACAGTCTAGTGACCCCCAATTGCATAGGTTCGGGTTCGGACTGTACAGGGAGGTTAGACAAAACAGGTTTAGAGAATTGAGGTGCTAGGGACATAGCCGTACATCTGGTCTTGCTTCTGGTGACTTCTCTGAGTCTTAACCTATTATCAATATGCATGACAAACGTAATAAATTTGTTAAGACTCTTAGGTAATTCTTTAGTGGCTCTCTCATCTAGTAAAGTCTCTGAGAGACCCTTTTTGAATGCTGAGATTAACCCATTGTTAGTCCAGTCTACCTC